ATTGGCCTCAGGCCGTGCACACGTGCTCTGGACCACAGACATCTACGGGCGCCTGGCTGCAGACTACTTCAGCCTGTGACCTCCAAGCTCTGGGTGAGAGACTGTCCTGGGGTCCAGGGCTGCTAGAGGCCCCTTGCCCCTTGGGTAGGCAGAGCCTATCCTGGAACCCTGCTGCAGGCCTGACACAATGGCAGTGGCCTGATTTCTTTGCTCCAGGGCTCGCCTTGAGCCTCCCCATGCTTTCTGCAGCACCGTGTGCAGTTTGTCCTGCACCTGCTCCCCTGGCTGCCTGATCACCTGTGGGCCCAAGGGCTGGATTCCAGGCCTACATGGCCCTGCTTGGTTTGGCTGCACTTAGCTGCCTTTCAGTGTCCTGGGGTCTTCAAGCTGAGAGATGATCTTTTCCTCTAGGCCCTCCCCAAGAGCAGATTTCTCTGGGTTGGAAGTTGGGACAGGGGCCTACCTCACAGAGCGTTGGGAACCCAGGCACTCTGGGGCCTCTTACCTCTTCTGGGTTTTGGTGCCAGAGGGTGTCTTAAAAGGTACAAATGTGCAGTGTGCTTAGAACTTAAGTCTGTGACTTTTTTCTGTCCTAATTGGTTAGAGTGACTCGTCTCCTGTCATCCCCAGCCTGGTCACTGGGGACCATGTCTTTGGTTTGCTGCCCCTCTGTTTTTCTGGGCATCTCCACAATCTGTCACCTCTCTCCCACATTTCAGAGGTCCAGGCCTACAAAAGGCGGTGGGACCAGAGGCAGACCCGCAGAGGTCGGGTTAATTTGGGAAGTGGGGGGATCATTTCTGGAGGGTCACAGTGGGGGTGTTGGGAGCCTATCCCCGGCACCCTCCGTTCACGTCCCAGGACTTTAATTTGCAGGGGTCCGCAGGTGCTCCCGCCCCACCCCGCGCCGCCCCGCGCCCTAAACCCGCATACACAGCTCGCTACACTGCGCAGCTTCCACCCTTTACTGACCACGCTGGGGCATGTGCTGGGTGAGTCGAACCGACCAATCCGCGCGACCTACGTCATCAGCCCGCGCCCCACCCCTCAGCAGTGGATCTCGTAGGCGGAGGGGGGCTGCAGCGGGAGGCCCTGCGCGACTCCAGGCGCTTCGGCCGCTTCCGCCGGGCCCTCAGCGAAGAGCGGCTTGGAGCGGTCAATGACGAACATCTCGTGGCCCCGCTCGTCGCGGAGCTCCTCGAGCTGCGCGAAGGTGCAGGGCCCGTCGGAGTAGTCGTTGACGAAGAGCGCTCCCTCCCCGGGAGGCCCCGGCGCCTTCTTACGCCTGCGCCGCCGGCGGCAGATCATGGTCGCCAGTAACAGAGCCGTGAGAGCCAGGAGCGCGATGGCAGCCGCGATGGCCGTCTGTGTGGCCAGGCCCAGGGCACGGAAGGCCATGCTGCCCGCCTCGGGCAGAGGCTCGTGACTGACTGGGCCGCCTGCCGCGGGTGGCGCGGGCACCAGCTGCTGCTGCCGGGACACGTTGACCAAGAGCTGAAAGGGTACGCGGGCAGCGCCGCCGGCGTTGGAGGCCTCACACTCGTACTTTCCGGCGTGGGCTAGGGTGATGTTGGTGAGGAAGAGCATGCCGCTGCCGGTGTCGGAGGCCCCGAGACCTCCTGGGCCCCGCCACCCAACTTCTGGCTGGGCCTCGGTGCGGGGCGCGCCCTCGGGAGGCCGCGCCACCTTTCTCCAGGTCACCAGGGGCTGCGGGTAGCCTGAAGCCTGGCAGGCCACCCGCAGGTCTTCACCCAGGTTGGCTGTCACCTCCAGCGGCTCCACGTGCACAGACGGTGGGATGCAGATGAGGCTACTTCCAGATACTTCCAGGAGACTCTGAAGTGCCAGGCGCGGGGGCTCTGCACACAGGATCTTCTTGTCCCTGGAGCTGAGCAGTCGCTGGCCTCCTTCCTTGATCCAGGCTCCCAGCCAGTGCAGGGCACAGTCACAGCGCCATGGGTTCTCTGTGGGTAGAGCAGCAACAGGCATGTAGCTCAGGGGTGGCTCTGCACAGCCTGTGCGGTTGGGGTTGTTGGCAAGAGCAGGAGCCCCTTTCTTACCTAACACTGTGGGGGACCCCTGCCACCTCTCTCTGACGGGGCTCCTTAGAGTGGGCAGCATTCACCCACCCCACACACACACCCCAAACTCCGTTCGGTGATGCATGTCCAATTCATTTCACCAGTCTCTTGAGAAAGCTCCTGTTCCTGGCGTCTCTCCCTGCCACAAGTTTTGCTATTTGAGGGGAACCTCTGTGTCCACATAGACATCCCACCAGCACTAAGACCTTGCACATCTGCCAGCTTTGTCGTCAGGTGCTGTCTGGAGGGAATGTCCCCAGTACTGGTCATGTTTCTGTTTTTTTTTCGTGCAGGCCCTCTCCTGGCTAAAAAATGTAGAGGCTGCTTAGCTCTGTCTGGTTTGTTCATGGCCTTGTACATGTTCTGTCTCCCTTAGGCAACTATGACCCTACCCTTGTTCCTAGCAGCTTTCTATCATGGCTGTGGGTAGGTAGTGCTGCCTGCCCCCTAGAGCTGCCACTGGAGCCCTCTCCAGCTGGCTGGCTCCCTACTGCCTCCACTGTGGCCAAGGAAGCTACCTTTGCATGAGAGCCCCTTGCCCCCAGAAAGAGCTACCTGTGAGGCGCAGGACCTGCAGGCTGGCCAGTGGCTGCAGGGCCTCCCGGCTGATGGTGCCCAGCTGGTTCCTGCTGAGGTCCAGCAGTGCCAGTGAGGAGAGCCCAGCCAGGGCCTGGTCCTCCAGCAGCTCAATGCTGTTTTCCTGCAGGTGCAGCTCCTGCAGTCGCTGAAGCAGGGACAGATCATCAGAGAAAGGGGCCCTGGGGGACAGGTCCCCTTCTTACCAGACTAGCCTGGGCTGCCTTTTCTCCCCTTCACTATTCCAGCCCAGTAGGGCAGGTGGCAGTTTAGGAGGACCTCTACCCTTCTTGCACACTCCTCCCACCTCACCTGCAAGTGTAGGAAGGTGAAATCCAGTAGCTGTACCAGCTGGTTGCCAGCTAGGTAGAGCACGCGCAGTTGGGCCAGGCCTGCGAAAGCGCCGACGCGCAAGCCGCGCAGCTGGTTGCCAGTGAGCGCCAGTTCCAGCAGGCGCGACTGCGCGCGGAAGGCGCCCGACTCTAGGGCGTGTAGGCTGTTGTTGTGCAGGTAGAGATGGCGCAGGGAGGCGAGGGGCGCCAGGATGCCCGGCTCCAGGCGCGCGATGCTATTGTCCTGCAGGAACAGCGTCTGTGTCGGAGGGAGAGACGGCGCTTACCCCACTGAAAAGGTCTTTCTTTTCCCTAGGGCTCCCCATTCACCCACGGGGAGGCTCACACACCCGTCCCTCCGTTTCGCTGGCACCCCTTGTCCGCAGCCCGGCCGCCCCACGCGGTGCCCACCTGCGTCCCGGGTGGGATTCCAGGCGGGACCACGCGCAGCCGCAGAGCACCGCACTCCACCGTGGCGCTGTAGCAGCGGCAGGCGGCGGGGCAGCCGGCAGCGCGAGGCGGGAGACCCGGCAGTAACAGCAGCGACAATAGCAGCAGTGCAGGCGCCCCTGGGGCCATCTCCCGCGGGACCGGCCGCAGGCCACGAACCTGCAGCCTTTTCAGCAGCCTCCCTACAGTCCGGCCCCGATGGGATGCAACTCCTGAAACACAGGTTGGCAGGCCTGTCCCTAACATTTGAGAGCCAGCGAAAAGCATGAATGGAGGCACACACCATGTCTGCGTTTTGAAGCTTGAAATCGGTTTAAGAAACTGGTAAAATAAAATTTCATTGCCTTCCTTTATAAAAAGCTTTAAAAAAAAAAAAAAGCCAAAGATCTGGAGCATCAGGTTTCAATTTAGAATTTTTGTTTTCAGAGTCTTGCCACGCAGGCCACAGGAGAGAAGCCTATGCCACCCCAACACTTCTCTCCCCATCCCCCATCTGCCTGGGACTGAAGGGTTTCCTGCTCATGCAAGTGGACACATGGACTGAAGTGCCCTCTACAACCCAACATCCAGTCACTCCTTGGATCTTGGGTGCAAGAGGCTGGTATGGGCTTGGGAACACGTGGGTAAAGTTCAGGGTCAGTCACCAAAGCATGGACTAGAAGGGAAAGAATAGGCTCTGAGCAGACACATCCCCTGGTCTGCATGAACTCAGTCTTGAGCACTGGCATGGGACCTCAAGAAGCACAGCCCAGACCAGGGGTGCTTTGCGTAACCTCCGGACGGGGCACAAGTCTCCCTGCTGCTAGTGTTTGTCCTTGTCCTCACCTAATTTTGACCCAGAATTTATTCTCGTCATTTTTATCCCTAGAACTCATGCTGTGGCCCCAACACTCAGATTTTCCTGCTGTGACAAGGACATGGGCACAACTGGTCTCGGGGGGTACCAGCCACAGGAAAATGGAGGCATACTTTTGTCCAGCCTCTGGCCCTGCCCTACTTGGGGTGGGAGTGAGTAGAACAGCTTAGCTATAATTAGAGCTTTTTCTCAGGGAACTTGCCAGGGTATTGGATGAGACAAATAGGAAAGCCACTTCAGCTGTGGGGCCAATGTTCTCCATGCTGACACCTAGAAAGATGCATCCATCTTTGGGGGTAGGTGGGTCCTTGGGATGACTGGGCTGTGAAAGAAGGAACCTTGGGTCACCAACTGAGTTTCTAGGGTAGTTTGCCAAGTAGGTTCTGTGCTCAGTGACCTCCTGGACTTCGAAAGCGTGTGTAGTGTTTTGTTTTAGGGGTTATACACATGCAGCTGTGATCCTAGAAAGAGAAGACCTGAGTCTAGTTCAAGGCACAATGAGTCCAGCTGGATGGTGGGGCTGAGGTGTGCCATCAGCTAGCCTCCACTTCAAATGGTCTCTGCTCTGAACACCTGCCTGTTCACCAGGTCTCCTACTAGGAAGAGTGTGTCATGTGGAAAGTTACCAAGTGGCCTTAGTGTTTATTTAAATCTTGCTCTAAATTTAACTCACATGGTTATTTAAAATTACTGAAGAGAAGCAGGCACAGTGAAAGTTTTAATGTAATTGCTTTGGTCTAGGCAGAGGCAATTTCCAGATGTCTCAGAATGTGTGTGAACCCCAAGAAGTTGGGGGGCATTCTCAGCCCCTGGGACCCACTTCCATCAGCAAAAGGGCTGGCCTAAGGTGCCCACCCAGCTTTCAGCGGCAGGGCCTCTCAGAGAAGATTCTTGGCCTCCTCTTAAGGACTTAAGAGGATTGCTGCTCCCGTGGACACCCCATAGATGTTGATACATGTGGAAGAGCTGGCCTGGGCATGGTTGAGGACTCAAGTAGGAAGAGGTCAGAAATACTTTAACCCAGCGGAAACCCTCCTAATCTGACTGGGTAGGAGGTGGGGTGTAACATACTGGATTTGGCAACAGCTGTCAGTCTCCAGGGGGCCCATCTGTGCGAGGAGGGCTGAGTGAGGAGATAATGGAGGAAGCCCCGCTTCGCTCTTCCACGCAGTGCAAGGCCCGAACCTTGATCTCCCGAGGCGCCCCCTGCATCCCCTCCGGCGCGGTCTGTCCAGGGCAGGGCGTGGTCCCCGTCAGGTCGCACGCCCTTCTCGGTAGTCGCCAGAGACAGAGCCGGGATGGTCCCTGATCCCGCCCCATGCCCGCTGACCTTGGGCCGGGCGCCCCCTCACCTGACGCTCCCGCGGCGCGGCTCCCCCGCCGAACCCCGGCCCACAGAGCAGCACCCAGCGGGCGAGGGACGGGCGCCGCTCGGGCTCGCGCACTGGAGCCCCCGCGCCTCCCGCCCGGCCGTCCCAATCCGCCGTCGCGAGCTCCGGGCAGACCAGAGGACGAAAACGCCCCAGGCCGGGGGTGTGTGGAGGGGCCCCCGAGACCCCGCCCCTGCCGGCGTCGGGACACGGTCCGCGACGCCACCTCGGACAGCGCCGGCGGGGCGGGGCCGCGGCGCACCTTCGCCGCGCACGCGCACTCGGCCAGCGCGCTCTCCGGGTGGCGCGTGCGCAGCGAGGCGGCCCGGGGCGCCGCGGGTGCCAGCGACTGCTGGCCCGCGGTTCAGGGCGGCGGGGCAGCAGGCAGGAGCGGGGCCAGGTCCATGGTGAGTGCGAAACGGCGGCCCTGCCAGCGCACGTGCGAAGGCAGCTCGGGCGCGCCTGGCGCGTACTCGAAGCAAGCGCTGAGCTCGAAGGCCAGGGCCGATCTCACCAGGCCCACGCCGCCCGCGCGCTCCGGCGCTGGGTGGTAGAGACGCCCATTCGTGGCCAGCGGCAGCAGGCGCGCAGGCTCGAAGGGCACAGACAGGGCCTCGCCGCCGCCGCAGTAGGAGAGGCGCTGGAGCGCGGGGCCCGCGGCCAGCAGGTGCGTGAAGACCACGGGCCGGTCTTCGCAGCGTAGGAAGTTGCGTTCCCTGCCGCAGAGCGAGAGGAAGGGGAAGGAGGCCTCGTAGCGCCCGCTGCGGTTGGGTGTCAGGCGGGAGAAAAACATGACCAGGAACTGCGGGTCTGTGGGGAGGAGGGGGAAAGGGCGTGACTGCTCAGCACGCCAGACCCCGAGTCCCCCGGACCCTATTGCCCCAGGCAGGCGGCTCGCCCTGGGTCACACCAAGGGCTTGCGCTGGCTATCGGACAGCCGCCTAGGCCTCACTTTAGTTAGCGGGCTTTTAAGCACAGTACGGCCAGCCTCCTAATGCGGGCAGGACGGCTGGCAGGTTGGGCAGCGCGAACCCTTAAGAGCCTTTCCCGAAGGAAGAGGGAAGGTGGGGTTGGAAGGAGTATCGGTACCTTTGAAGCAAGTGGTGAAGTTCTTCATTCTGGAGTCGTCCAGGAAAAGCTGCGGAGAAGCAGACCGTGACCCTTGAGTAGCAGCCCGAGAGAGCTGTCACAGGGCGAGAAGGCGCTGGTGGGCCTGAGCCCGGGCTGATGTCCGCTTTCTTTGCTCGTCTGTGCACACCATGTGCAGGGAGGCGCGTGGAAGATAAACCTGGGAGCCCTGCCGACCTCCCCACATCTATCCCGCGCCCCCCGCCTTACTTCCTCAAGCACAGATTCTCTCAGCTGGCAGGCCCTTCCCGCGCCTCTTCCCCCCTCCCTTCTAGTTTCTAATGAGATGTGCCACTTCCTCCGCAGAGCTCTCTAAGTTGTTTCCTTGTGTTTATGGTGGATGCCACCGCCAGGGCTTCCAAATCAGGCGCGGCGGCGTGGGACGCAGGACTGGGGGATGCAAAGCCCGCAGGGCGCAGCCACGAGTGGGACGTTGTCTGCTGGGAGCCTAACCCTTTGGGGCCATAGCCGCGCGTCCCAGTGTTTACAGCGCGACCGGGGAGGTCGGGTTGCCTTACTGTAAAGACCCCGCCCCCGCCCACCTGGCCCTGATGATCCACATAGTAAAAGTACTCGCGCGTCCGAGGCTCTGGGCTCTGGCCCTGCGTGTAGGAGACTCCCCCGCCCCCAGCGTAGGTCCGGGCTCCCGGGGACCGGGCCAAGATTAGAGCCCAGGGCCGCAGCACCCCGCTCATCGTCCACATCCTCCTCCAGCGCCGGAAACGGCCGGAGGTCATGCGGGGCAGGTGCTGTGGGAACACCGGTCCCCCGGCGGTCATGGCCTCGTGCTTTGGGTTCCGTCGGCGGCCACGGAGCTCGGCCCACGCCCACCCCCACCTTCCTCTCTCCTTCCAACCCCAGGCGTTCCCGACACTCTCCCTTCTCTGTGGCACGCCGCCCAGCCTTGCGGCTGGGGAAAAGGGCGGCGGGCGGAATCGCCCGACGTTGGGCTTCTAGTATGAGACGCAGGTGCGGTCGGTTTCGGGAACAGGGACATCGGTTGGGCCTTGACTTCGCCGGGCATGCAGGCCCTGTCCCTCCTCCCGCAGAGACTGGCTGTCTTCACGTGAGCCAGGTACGTGCAGTGTACCCCCACCCTCAGGAAGCCGGCCCGGCGAGGCAGCCTGCAAGTGAGGGTGGCAGCTAAGACAGGTGGTGAATAAACACCGCCCAGAAAGCCTATGCCAGCTTGGGCCGTAAGATGGGTCAGAACCCGGCCTGCGGTCCCCACCCCACCCTCAGGCAATCAAGCAGAGCTTACGGGCTCAAGTGGAGTACCTCAGGTGCCTCGCCCCATCCCCAGGAGGTAACTTCCTCTCCTCCCCGAACCCCTCCCTGCTCCCCCTATTCTCCCTTGACCTTACATCCATCCCGGTGCCCACACCGGCAACCGACTGGCTGCTGATAGCTGCCTCTCTGCCACTGGAAGGAATGGGAGGCGACAGACTCGCAAGTGTCCACACGTACTTTATTCACATAAAGTGTTTTCATCTCTCGAGTCCATGCGTCAGAGCGAGTCTTTGGCCGGGCTGCCGGTACCCAAGCCTCGAGACCACCGGACCGAGGACCTTCTCCCAGGGGGACACCGGGCCTCGGCAGGGCTGGGCTTTTTTGTTTTTAATAATAAATAAAAACTCAACTCTAAAAAAAATATATATATAAACTGGGGGTAAATTAGGTTTTACAATGATTGGAACTCAAAATTCCAAAATGGAAAATGTACAGAGTCTAGGTACCTCCTCCTCCCTATCCTCACCCTGCCGCACGCGCTCTGGCCTCGAGGAAGGACAGTCGCTGGTTCCCCTCTGGTGTCCCGCTCTGGGCTCCTGCCCTCTCATCTGCTGCAGGTCTTGGACGGGGGTAGGGCAGGATTCGCTTTTTGGTCAAAGCCAAGAAGGTGGAGAAGAAAATGAAGGAATAATAGCAACTTGTCTGCAGAGGATGGGGGAGGACGACTCAGAAATAAATAGCATTTGGGTTAAGATTATGTCATTAGCAAATTTAGTTCTTGTATCTTTCGCTCTATTTATATCTCTATACACAGGCGGGTTGGGATGCGGGATAGATTCTGAATTTATAGTTACACGAAGAAAAAATATTCTCGCCCCTCCCCCACCCTGCCCCAAGAATGCCTGCCCAACCCTGCCCCCCACCCCGGAGGACTTTGGCTTGGAGGCTCCTTCCCGCCCAGAGAGCCTATTGGGCCCTGGACCGGCCGGACTCTGCTCTGGTGGTGGACAGCCCAGAGCCCTGGAGACCCCAAATTCCTGTGCAGTCACCACGCTGAAGCCACAGGAGGCGGGGAGTAGGGTAGAGGGGAGGGAGAAATTGGGGAGGGTGAAAGTCGCAGACCAGGAGACCCCCAGGTCAGAGGGAGGGCAGAGGAAGGGAGGGGTAGCCGGGCTGGGCCCGGGCCGGGACCAGGCTGAGCGCAGCACCCCAGCGAGACAGCTTGCCCCAGGGAGGGCGGCTTTTGCTCTCGGGCCGGCCGGGAGGGGCAGTGTCACTTGGCTCCAGGAAACAGAAGGCACTTTCTCGCGGCCGACCAGCGGCTGGCGATGGGCGGGGCCGCGCCTAATGAACCAGCCAGAGGCCGGGGGCGGGGCTGAGGCGCCCTTCCCTCCGCCCCTCAGCCCCGGCTGCGCCTTCGGGCGGAGGGCCCGGGTAGGGGAGATGGGGGTTCCAGGGCTGGGGCGGGCATGGGCGGAGCCGGCATGCTACCTCCGCGACTGGGGCATCCCCTCCCCCCTCCCCGCGTGCCCCCCTGCCCAGGCGCACCCGGGCAGGCTCTGTCCCCACCCTCGGTCCCTCGGTGCCCACGCGCTATAGCACGCCCTCCATGAAGCTGGTGTCCAGGTGCTGGATGAGCACGCGCAGGAAAGACATCTCCTTGCGAGTGTTCTCAAAGATGACCCGTGGATCATCTGAGCGGCAGCGCAGGCAGTTGGGCGCCATCACCATGGCCAGGTTGCTGACGTCCATCTTGGTGATGGCCACATTGGCAGGCTGCACGAACACCTGCGGGGGACGGGCAGGTGGGCCCGAGCCGGGCACAGAGGGGGCGGGGCATGGAGGGGGCGGTGCGGAGGGGCGGGGTGCCACCGCCTACCTGGAGGAAGCGGATGAGGTAGCACAGCACCAGGCGGTTGATGCGGGGCAGCGCGTGCACCACGGCCACGGCGGCCTCCGGGCTCTCGTAGTGCGCGATGCACTGCTCATAGAACTCGTGCGGGATCAGGGGCTCCTCCAGCTCCCGGTACCACAGCTTCAGCAGCGACGCTGGGAACGCAGTGCGGGGTGTTCAGCCGTGCGGGGCCATCGGGGACCAGCAGCAGCAAGGGGTGAACGGGGCCGTGGGGGGCGGTGTGTGTGTGTTGGCGCCGAGGGGGCAGGGCCAGACTGGAGGTGTCCACACAGAGGTGCGGGCTGCCTGGCTGGAAGCCAGTGGGCTCCTAGTCCTGACTGCCAGGACTGACCCCGAGCGTGGCGACACTGTCCTGAAGGACATGCAAATGTTCTAGAGAGGACTTATCAAGAGGGCTGTGCAGCCACTGTGAGCAATGGAGACTGACCAACGGCAGCAGATCTCTGCACTGGAAATGGATCAGAGGGCTGCCCCTTCTCCATGGGAAGGGCTGAACCATTCAAGCTGCTGAGGGGGCTGGGGGCTCACCTGGGACGTGGGGGTCCTCCAGGCCTGTAGGCACCTTCCACTGGTCCACTTGTAGCTTCAGGGCATTCACTTCATCGATGTCCCCAGGTACTCTGCCAAGCACATGGCAGGTCTCAGGGAGGAGGAGCTGGGCTTGCTCCAGGTCAGGGCTTCATGACCCCTCTCTGCCTGAATGACCTCCTTCCTACCGGAGGGGAGGTGTGGCTGGGGTCCCCTGCCCCAGGCCCTCATCCTGCTGCTGACTACCCCCATGCAGATCCCTTTCTCGGAATGATCTCTGAGGCCCAAACCCACAAGCTTGCTTCCCCACCTGTCCTGGGCAGGTGAGTCATGACGGCAGGTGACTGGCCATGTGCCACCCCCTTGGGGCAGGTATCATCTCCACTCACAGGTGAGGACCCTTTGCTTAGAGTTGCTGCATCTTTCCAGACCCTGCTGTTGTCCAAGTGCCCTCTGGGGCCCTGGTGGCCATTTCTGCAGGATCACTGTCCTAGACCAGCTCCCCTGCCTGGGTTCGGGCATGACGTAGTTCAGGGGGAACAGTCCTGTGCCCAGCCACTCCATTTGCTCCAAGGTGCCTCTCTCCAGCATGCTGGCCTCTCGGAAGTGCTCCTCTGAGGCAGGGACCCAGTGCCCAGTGGCCCTGACTGCCCAAGACTGGTGGAGACACCCAAGGCTCCCACACCCAGGGCCCAGGCTGCAGGGCACCTGAAGATGCCTTCCGTCTGGTCACCGTTGAGTGCGAGCACCTCCTCTGACAGCCGGGTCTGCACCCAGGGCAGCTGCCGATCAGGGTAGCGCTCCTTCTGCATGCTCATGACCTCCTGCAGCGCGCTGCCAAACATGGACGGGCTGAAGACCGCGTTCTTGGCATGTCGGATCTCCTCCACGTTGGGCTTCTTCAGCCCCTGCAAAGGCAGCCCAGCGCTCTGTGCCAGTGTGGCCAAGCACCCAGCCCTCCGTCCCCTGACACCCCAGCAAGGCCTACCCTGGTTCACCCGCCTCTCCTGTGAGCCCCAGGCCTCTGCCTAGCCAGAGCCAGGGTACCCCAACTCTCTGGCCCCCAAGTCAACATGGCGGCTTCCTTCTGGGCCACCTACAGCACCAGAAGCTCCAAGTGGCGCCCTATGCCCTGTGAGCCATTCATTTCACCACCTGCCCCCTTCCCAAGTCTGCAGCCCCACCTCCCGCTGGACTCTGTCTGGGCCTCACGAGCACAGGGTGCCCACCCACCTCTGCCCGGCGGTGCAGGGAGTTCATACCTTCTTGGCCCCGGTCAGGGCTGCCTTCTGCAGCTTGTGGTAACAGTACTTGGCATATGTGCTTATTGCCACCCCTAGAAAAGAATGGTACACTTGGCTTGGTGTGGACATGTAAGAGCAGGGGCGAGTGACTAAGTGACTAAGAGAGTAAGCAGCAAGAGGGGCGAGGAAAGGTGGCTCTTGCAAGAACGTGGGCACCCAGGGCCTTACTCTCCTGGGCTGTGCTTTGAAGTAAACCTATGTGGAAGGGAAGGAGGCACCACCCTCTCCTCCAGAGGAGCCAGACTGCAGAAGGAAGCCCTTTGCCAACCCACCCAACCCTCCCCCTAGCAAGTAAGGGCAGCCTGGGGGTGCAGTGTTTCCCTGGAGAAGTGGCAGGCCAGATAGGGCAGGGCCTGGGGAGCCCCCGAGAAGGGGGATTTCTGTGTGCAGCAGGCCTGCGGGCACTCGGCACCCACTGCCCAGGGCCACACAGGACGGAGGTCTGGGTTGGCTGGACTGCAGGCCTTCTTGTAGCCCTGATTCCAGCGGGAGGCCCTGGGCAGCCCAGGCAGAGGCCTTAGCCTGCAGGATCCCATGCCCATGTGGCTGAAGGCTGCCTGGGCGGGAGTCAGGGAGGGGGAGGCGCAGGGCCTGGCCCATGTGGGAGGGGGATAGTGTGGAGTGGATGCCCCAAGTCCTGAACCCGAGTTTCACTGGGAGGGCAATGCTGAGGAAGAACCACTCAGGACTCTGCCTAAGTGCTGAAGGTGATGGGAGGACAGGTCTTTTTTCTCAAGGAGGGAGGCTTTCTAACACCCCATCCCTGGCAGCAGAAGCCCTTGCCTAGCTGGTGGTCAAGGAGGGTGGCAGAGCAAGGCCTCAAGCACCTTGGCCAGGGGTCTTTCCAGATTTGAGGGGAGAGGGGCTAGGAGGAGACCTAGTCCAGGGATGGTCTGAAATGTGGGCACATCCTTCCTGGCCTAGGCAGGCAAGGGAAGGAGCAACAGGACAGTGGAGCCACCTGGGCCGGGCTGTCCCGGGCCACGGACAGAGGGGCTGGACCATGTGCCTCCAGGCTCAGGTCAGGCCCTTCCCTGTAAGACTGCCTCTGCTGAGTGCCACCTGCCTAGGGGGCTCTGGACCCAAGCCTCAAATCCAAACACAGTCTTTTTCAAAGGAAGCAGTTTCTTGAGATGTCGGAGGACATGGGGCTCCTTGAACCTCAGTGTGAAGAACACAAACATGTCTCATCCATGAAAACCTTTTCATTTCTAGTTATCACAGAACAGCTGTCATAACTGGTGATGGTGGTCTATTTTAGAGGAACCAAAATGAAAAATGTTTCTTCTAGATGTTTAAACCCTGAACAATCTGTTTCAGGTCCCTGGGGACTCACAGACCCCTGGCAGAGATCCTAGCTGCTGCCTTCCATTAGCCCACTTGGGACACAGTGCTGGGGAACCTCCTACCCATGGCCCATGTGGCCCACGTGGGCAAGCTCTGGGCTCAGGGAGAGGGGATGGTGCTTAAGCAAAAGGAACCTGGGCTGCACCCTGAGCACTGGGAGCACTTGGCAGCAGGCAGCAGCACTCCCTTCCCCGTCCTGGGTGCAAGACCCCCCAACTCCCTTGGGCGACTGCTTCTGTCCCTGGGCTTGGGGCCCATGGGCAGACTTGCCCGGACCTTCTGCCACAGAGTCTCATGGGGCTTCCTGCACCTCTCACATGGTGGTGGTGGTGCAGCCTTTTCCAGCCTGATTCCCTATCCATAGGATGGGGACGGGTGCCCATTAAGGGCCGGCCTCAGAATCTGGCACAGTGAGGACTCAGCTGAGAGCCACCACTGCTGGAGTCCCAGGGCACATCCTCCTGGGCCAGGACTATGGGGTGTTTGCTGAGTGCCCAGCATCCAGCCCAGGGAACCCTCTGGCGGTGTGAGGGACCCTGCCCTGAGCCCAGGGAACCCTCTGACGGTGTGGGGGACTCTGCTCTGAGCCCCGCATCCAGCGCCCAGCCCAGGGAAACCTCTGACGGTGTGGGGGACTCTGCTCTGAGCCCCGCATCCAGCGCCCAGCCCAGAGAACCCTCTGGCGGTGTGGGGACTCTGCTCTGAGCCCCACATCCAGAGGCTGACAAAGCAGTTCTCCCAGGGCCTTGCTGCTGTGCCAGGGCCCAGGCCATGAACCTCAAAGACCACCAAGTGTGGCCAGAACCTGCTGCCTCTTGGCACGTGCTCTGCAGGGTCCCAAGGGTCTGGCTCCCTTCTCCGACCCACTCAAGGATCCGATCACCCTCACCCCCGCTCATGGCTGCATTGCTCTTGTGGACTGGCTCGGGCAGGAACTCAGAACCCCTCCTGCTCCTACCCCCAATGACAGTGGCCCAAGGGCGTCCTGGGATCCCAGAGGGCAGCTGCCCCCTTTCTCTTGGCATGGGCAGCAGACAGCCAGGCACTTCCCAGAGGAAGAAGAGTGAGGCAAGTGTGGGTAACTGGGTGTAGGTGGGCTGGAAGCTGGTCCCAGGATCTTGGTGCCAAGAGGGGCAGTTCACGGCACAGCAATGGACCACTGGCTGTCCTGGTGGGGGAGGCACAGCCTTGGGCTAACAGGGCTTCCCGCTAACAGGGCTTCCCTGGAGCTTGGGCAGGGGTGGGGTTCCTGAGCCAGGGCCCAGGAGAAAGGCAGGGATGGGAATGCTGGGGGAGGGAGGCTGGGGAACCCTTGATTGTGCTGGGGGCCCTGCCAGAGAACTGAGGCCCGGCTTGGCCCCCAGGGCACTGCCGCACCAGGGGCCGCCTCCAGCAGGTCCCTCTGCACGGCGCGCCCAGCATGCACACCGGAGAGCGTCCTGAGCACCACGGAGGCCAGGCCAGGGCGGCGCGGCCTCTCCCAGGAAGCCCTGTCGACAAGCAGGCGTCAGCCCCCTCTGGAGGAGGCCTGGCAGTTAGTGACCCCCGCGCCCAGCCCAGAAGTGGTTAGAGAGAGGGGCCAGGTGGCCGAGCCGGAGAGCAGAGCTGTGCAGCGCAGCACCCGGGGCTGCGGGAGAGGCCCTACCATCCGGCTCCTCAACATAAGGCTTGGGTTTCTTTCTCAACTTGGACTTCTTCTTAGTGTTCCTTTCCAGGAGCGCTTTCATGTGCTGGGTCACTGGGGAGCAAACAGAGGGTGAGGCCACAGAACACAGAGGAACACGAGCCCGCACGGCCCCACGCGGGGCTGACCCCGGGTGGCTGGGATGACGGCCCAGCCTGCGGGGCTCCTCGAGGGGTGGAGGCGAGTGTCCTGCTCACACTCCCGGGACAGGGGTGGGTGTGAGGCCTGTCCTGGCCATGTGGCTGGGGAGGCGCCAGCAAGATGCCCGCGGGCAGTGGGGAGGGGCTGTGGTCAGTTCCTGAGACCTCTGGCCGACAGGATGGAAGGGGTGGGGAGAACCCTGAGGAGGCCCCAGGCCAGTTGTGGGGTTCCTGCATGGCTGAGGGGGCACTGAGCAGGAGGTGGGGCCGGGCTCCCCTCTCTGGCTGGTCAGGGCGCCTCCCACTTGGCACCGCTGACACAGCCCCTCCTCCCCCGTCCCACGCTCCGGAAGGAAGTTGGGGTGCACGGTCCACACTGAGGTGGGAGCCCCCTCCTGTCATGGTGGAACCCCTTACCTACATGAATTATCTGTAATTCCCCTGGATGGGGAAGCCATTAGTTACCTAATTACACTTTGGGTTATAATCCAATATGCTTTATTCTGCTGTTCAGTGCTCCAGCTTTGGCCCCGGGAGCTATGTTCTATAACACAGCCCCGTGTCAACCCTCATCCCTTCCAGCACTTCCTCCCCTCAATGGACATCAGAGTGAGCAAACTCTGGGAGATGGTGAAGGGCAGGGAAGCCTGGCGTGCGTGCTGCAGTCCATGGGGTCACAAAGAGTCAGACATGACTTAGCAACCGAACAACAATATGTACATTCCCAACCCCAGCCTTAGAATCAGTTGCTTCTCTAAAGAGCTCTGGTTCCTTCTCATGGAAAATGCTAGAGACCAAGGGCTGTCGGTCAGGTGTGCTCAGTTCTATGGAGTGGCGCTGTCCTCGCTGACAGGGCTTGGGCAGATAAACAGGTAGCTAGTTGGGAGAGGCTGCCTTCTCTTCCCAGTTCAGAGTTTTTGTCAGGAATGGAATGCTGGATTTTGTCAAGTGCTTTTTTCTCCACTAATTGATACGCTCCTATGATTTTTTTTTATTCTGCTAATATGACAAATCACACTGATTTTTAGAATGTTAAACCAACTTTTCCTTTCTTAGATAAATCCCACTTACTCAAGATGCGTTATTGTTTTAATATATTATTGAAATCAATTAGCTAAAAATACTGTTAAGTTTTTGTACTATGTTCATGAGGGATACTATCCGTGCTTTTTTTTCTTCAAATTTTTGGTAATGTTCCTAATTTTGATACAGAGAGAACTGGGAGACGGTCCCTCCACTTCTGTTTTCTGAGTTGGTAAAGAATTGCTGCACAAGCAAGCATTTGATAATTCTCTAGTGAGGCCATTTGGGCCTGAAATTTTCTTTGTGGGAGAGTTTTAAAGTCCTAATTTAATTTCTTTAGTAGATATATGATTTTTATGGTTATCTATTTCTTACTGAGTGATCTTTGGTAGTCTGTGTTCTTAGAGGAATTTGTCCATTTCCTCTAAATTGTCAAATATACTGACATAAAAGTTGTTCAGTATTTTCTTATTATCCTTTCAACATCTGTTGAATCTGTAGTGATATCATCTCTCATTCTTGATACTGGTAATTTGTGTCTTTTTGTCCTGGTTAGTCCATATGGAGGTTTGTTAATTTTGTTGACCTTCTCAAGGAATCAGGTTTTTGTTTCACTGATTTTCCACATTGTTTTTTCTGTTTTCTCTTTCATTAATTTCTACTCTAATCATCATTTCTTCTCCTTACTTTTGGCATAATTTCCTCTCTCTCTTTTCTGAAGTTTCTCAATGTAGGAGCTACGTGATTTGAGATATTTCCTAGTACAGACATTAGGTGCTGTAAGTTTCCCTTTAAGATCTGCTTTAGCTCCATCACACTAATTTTAACATGTTTTATTTCTATTTTCTTTCAGTTCAAAATACTTTCTACATTCTCTTTTCATTTTTATTTGACTCATGAATTGTTCAATATAATGTTTAGTTTCCAAATACTCAAGGATTTTCCAGAAAACTTTGTGCTGCTGATTGTCAGTTTAATTCCATTGTGGCTAGAGGACACACTTTCTTTGACTCATATTCTTTAACTTTTATTGAGACTTGCTTCATGGCTCAGTATATGGATTATTTTTTTTTATTATTTTCATCCAACAAGAAGCCATAATCTTATTAATGATAGAAACAGTACAAATTTCAAACCCAGCGGCAGTTACTTTTTTGAAACACCAAAAAAAGGTCCTCTTTTCAGATGCTTACATTGTTAATTCCATAATGGCATTTACAATATCATTACTGTTGTTCTTCAGGGCTCGGGACTACCTTTGCTCTGGACACATATGCTTGTGATATGATGAATTCTATGTCCTTAACTTCCACACCTGTTTCATCAACCTCTTCCTTTTCACTCTCCTCTTGTACAGTTGGAGTCTGTGTGTTTTCTTGGATGTTTGAGACAGCTTCACCTTTAACTTTAAATTTCTCAGCAGCTGCTAACTGTGCTTGCTGAGATAAATCCTCAATCTTGGCTTCCCCCAAAACAATGTAGTTATCTAAAGCTGGGCTCTTGTACACATCTGGTTTTGTGATGACAAAAAGGATATTCTTAGACTTCCGTAGCTACTTCTAGTAGCCCCTATAACCTGTCGATGACCCAGTTTGGACACAGCCTTCTGTGCCTTCTTTTCACTCCGGCTCTGTTTCGCTTTACTGACTGGTTCTTCATCGATTTCAGGCACTGCTGCCAGCTGAGTTGTTGTGTGGTTGCCTGTGTAGAATCCTGTTCCTCAAGCTCCGGGACTGATTCATCACTATCAGATTCTGTTCCAGACCCTGTCTCAGCCTGGGGCTGTGGCAACTCCTGCTCTGTAGCAGGGATGGTTTCTGGGGCTTCACCGGGCAGTTTGTGCGGGGAACGCAGAACCAAGACGGCGGCAGAAAGAATGCGAGCGAGCGAGCTGGAGTCCAGATGCTCTAGGCTTCTCTGGTGGTTCACAGAGAATCTCTCTGGTGATTCAAAGAGAACCTCTCCTGCAATGCAGGAGACCTGGGTTCGACCCCTGGGTTGGGAAGATCCCCTGGAGAAGGCAATGGCCACCCATTCTAGTATTCTTGCCTGGAGAATCTCAGGGACAGAGGAGCCTGGCGGGCTACTGTCCATGAGGTCCCAAAGAGTCGGACACGACTGAGCAAATAACATACCTGCTCTGGGGTCCAGAGTCTTTAACTTTGCCTGCATGGTTGTAGATGCTTTGTTTCTTAAACAGACCTTCAACTAGTCCCTCTGTTTTCGTTCCATGGTCACTCCCACTTTCATACCACTGCTGGAGGATGCTTGCCCCTACTGCTGAACTTTTCAGGGTTTACCAACTGCTTCAACTTTTCAGCTTCTCAACCACCTGCTTGGGATCCATGTTTCTTGGTCTGCCAACTGAGTTTCCAGCCACTTGTCCATTTGCTTTTCAGCTTCCAAAACATGATTGCTTTTCCTCTTCCCTTGTCTTTGTCCTGGTGGGTTTTAGTATTTTTATTATGAATATATATATATATATATACACACATATACATACATATATACATATATATATATATATAATATATACATACCATAAAACTTGCCATTCTAACAATTTCAATTGTACAGTTCAGGTTATTAACCACATTCGTGTCACTGTGTCATCACCACCACCCACCTCCAGTACTTCTTCCCCAAGTGGAAACTACAACTCAAACAACTCTCCATTTCTCCTTCCCTATAACCCACGGCACTTCCGTTCTGTCTCTCTGAATTTGACTGCTCCAGGGACATGTGGCACTAGTGGTAAGGAATCTGCCTGAAATGCAGGAGAGGCAGATTCAGTCTCTGGGTTGGGAACAGCCCCTGGAGTAGGAAATGGCAACCCACTCCAGGATTCTTGCCTGGAAAATTCCATGGACAGAGGAGCCTGGTGAGCTACAGTCCACAGGGTCGCAAAAAGTCAGACACGACTGAGCGACTGAACACATGCAGGGAAGGACCTCATGGGTAGATTCACATAATATTCGTCTTTTGGGGTCTGGCTTATTTCACTCAGCCTAATGTTTTCAAGGTTCATCTATACTGTAAGCTGTGCCAGAATTTCCTTCCCTATTTAAGCTGAGGAAGGCTTTCTTATCTCTCCTTGCTATTGTTTGGAGCTCTGCATTCAAATGGGTATATCTTTTCTTTTCTCCTTTGCTTTTCGCTTCTCTTCTTTTCACAGTTATTTGTAAGGCCACCTAGGACAGCCATTTTGCTTTTTTGCATTTCTTTTCCTTGGGGATGGTGTTGATCACAGCCTCCTGTACAATGTCACAAACCTCTGTCCATAGTTCATCACAGACAAGAAAGCCTTCCTCAGTGATCAGTGCAAAGAAATAGAGGAAAATAATAGAATGGGAAAAACTAGAGATCTCTTCAAAAAAAGTAGAGATACCAAGGGAACATTTCATGCAAAGATGGGCTCAATAAAGGACAGAAATGGTATGGACCTAACAGAAGCAGAAGATATTAAGAAGAGGTGGCAAGGCGCAGAGCTTGGAGTGTTAACTCCTCTGGGCCCGCTGGCATAACAAACCTGAGTTCTCCAGCTCTCTGGAAAAAAAAAAAAAAAGAGGTGGCAAGAATACAGAAGAACCGTACAAAAAAAGATCTTCATGACCCAGATAATCACAATGGTGTGATCACTCACCTA